CTCCATTTGGTGCTTGGCTGAGTTCTTTATCTCTTCATTTGATGTTTTAGGGTTTCAGGATTGTTGTATTCTCTGTATGGCTTAGTTTTTCGGATCTTTGCTGTGGAGGGACGGCGTGGTGCTTCTGCCTAGAGTGCCATTTTGCCGGAACTCAAGAAATATTGTTTTTGTTAATGTGGCTTATTTAATATAGTATAAATCAATTTGCTCAGGTTTCCTAATTCTCTCAATTAAATTTTGTACTATAGTGGAATTCCTATATGATACGGATTTAGTAGACAGGATTACCGAATTTTATGGAAATAACACGCACGTTATAAGTTTTTTTGCCAGCTGTGCAACCCTTTCAAGCCTTATTTTCCTAGGCTAGCTATGCACATTATATGTGTGGGCACATTATTTGGGAAAAGACTATAATAAATTTGTTATAAACCAGTAATGCTCAAGTCTATGTATGGGTTTCACACTAACACACACCACCACAGCAACTCTTCAGATGTAGTAGGAAAGTAGTTATTGCTTCTAAATGTATTGTTTAAAATTACAAACAATAAGAAAGTGGAGAGAATAGTTTAATGAACCCATCTGTACCCATCACCAACCATCAACAATCAACACACAGCCAGTTTAATTTCACCTATACTCCTACCCACTCTCCTTCTCCACATTGGATTATTTTGATAGCTTCTGCTTCTCACAGCCTAGATGTCATGTCTTTTTAAAAATTAATTTGTTTGTTCTATCACAAAAGCTAAACAGATAATCTCCTTAAGAAAATTCTGGAAAATACAGAAGAATAAGAAGGGGGAAAAGTTCCAAATAATCTTACTACAGTAAGACAACTGATACTAACAAGTTGGTATATTTGTTATTTTCTTCTCTTTGAATATGTTTCGCAGCCTTTAAAAAACAACAGCCCAAACAGGTATAAAACTGCTGTATGTATGATTTTTGTATGCTTCTTTCACTTGACTTTTTTTTTTTGTAACTATCACTGTTAATAGTGGCTAAATAATATTCTGACATTCGTCTGTTGATGGACATTTAGATTGTTTTCAGTTCAGACTATACATAATTTACATACAAAAATCACCTCTTTCAATAGACAATGCAGAATTTCTTTGTAGATGTATAATGAAGAGCTCTCAAAAGGGAGAACTGGGATGAAGGTGAAGTCTGGTTGATCTCCCTCAGTTCCCTGTAGCATTTACTTCTCTCTTAGCCTTTCTTACTGGCAAATAACCCTTCACATAATTTCAGAATTCATGTTTTAAATATTCCTAGATTAACAAATTGTTGTTAATCATTGTTACTAGACCAAAAGGTGACTTTTTTTTAATTCTCTTGCCAGTGAACCAATCAGAAATATTTGTGATTCTGTTGAGATAATAAATTTTTAAAATTTGATTATATTAGTATGTTATTCATGTCTAGAATAAAATTACAGATACCATCTTACTATCCATAATTTTTTTAAAACTATCCATAGAAAATCATATGGACTCTGTGTTTCCTGAATATTTGAGAGCCATGCTGTCTCATGCTTGTGGTCAAATTAAACCTTTTATAAAGTATTCTAACTATATTTCAAAAGTCATAATTTAATCTTTCATATATTGAAATCTCTAATTTTACTTAATATTGTTATTAGGACTCTTATTACTTACTGTTAATTTTACTTTAATTCTTTGTGTGTTTGTGTATTACTCTGTCTTGCTTTGTATGTTATTCCCATCTTGATAATTTCTTCAGTTTCTCACATTATTGGTACAACTACCTAACTAAACTATCAGAATCCTTTGGTAAGAATAAATACAAGAAATACGTTCAAACTTTATATGAATTTCTACAATTAAAGTTAATTTTTAGAAAATCAAATTGTCATGTCTTGGTTGGGGAATAATCTGAGAAAAGTAACAAAGAGTACACTTTGCCTACCAAACCAATATATGAAGAAGTGCAGACAGAATAATTCCACAGGGTCAATAATGGTATATTTAATGTTTTTATTTAACATCAGAACTAGGATTAGTAATATTAACCAGGACTTGATTTATCAATAACTCCATGAAGTTGGTACCATCATCCTCAGCACTTTACTGAGGTACAGAGAGGGTAAGCAGCATGCCCAAGATCACACAGACACTGATTGGTACATGGATTTGGGTCAGTAGTCACAGCTTAAATGTTAGTGGAGTTTACAGTAGGCTACTAGATACTGGATTAAGACTCAGGAAAATTCCTTTTTTTAAAAAAAATTGTACTTTAGGTGAAGGTTTACAAAACAAATAGTTTCTCATTAAACAGTGAGTACATATATTGTTTTATGACATTAGTTAACAGCCCCACGACATGTCAACACTCTTCTTTCTCAACCTTGGAAGACCTTTCTTCTTTTTGGTGAAAATATACATAGCCAAAGATACACCATTTCAAAAATTTCTGCATGTACAATTCAGTGACATCGATTACATTCTTCCAATTGTGCTACTATTCTCACTATCCTTTTCCAAATTATTCCATCACCATTGTCTTCCAACTCACTGTCCCCTAGGCTTCCCATCAAACCTTTTGAGCTGCTGTTGTCAGTTTGATCTCACATAGATAATTCTTTTTTATTGTCCTTGTACTTTAGATGAAGGTTTACAGAACAAAATCCTTGTATCTTGTTCTCTTCATTCTCCCTTGCCCCCGAAGGGATGAGAAGAGCGGAGTATCTTAGATGGCTGCTCACAGGCTTTTAAGATCCCAGACGCTACTCACCAAGGTAGAATGTAGAACATCGTCTTTATAAACTGTGTTATGCCAGATGAGCTAGCTGTTCCCTGAGACCATGGTCCCCATAGCCCTCCGCCCAGCAATTCAGTCCCTCAGGGAGTTTGGATGTGTCTGTGGAGCTTCCATGACCTTTCCTTGTACAAGTTGTGCTGGCTTCCCCAGTATTGTGTACTGTCTTACCCTTCACCAAATTTACCACTTATCTAT